TGTAAGATTGAAATTTGTTTTGTGTCGTTCTAGCATCAACAATTTTGAAGGAAAATATTAAATGAAAATTGTATTAATGAAGAAAATTAAGGAAAATTTTTGATGCGAGGAGAAAAAAAAACTTATCTAGTGTTGAGTAAAGATTTATAATTAATCTTTAATAATTATTTTGTTCATGACGTTGCGAAATTACACAGAAAAAGTTAATTTCGTATTACTTTTGTTGTTTAGTAAAATTTTGAAAAATAGCAGATATTTTTGAGAAATGTGACATTTAGGATGGAAAAGCACGTACATAATTAGGTTGAACGATCTGATAAATACGCGGATAATATAATCGTGAAATTTTTGAATTTGAGTAAAGTAAACCGACCGAACCTTTTACAAGGCAGGCACCTAATTTATGGTGAAATTTTATATTTTAATGGGACAATTGAATAAGAATTGTCCGAAATTATCTTATTCAATATAATTTCGGTTTTAAAGGGCGGAGGGATGTGATGATCCAGAATTTGACCCGATAATTACAAAGTCGTTACAGTAAAAATTAAACTTTATCAAATAATCAAAATTTAATTCCGGTATTTTTAAATCTGCATCAATAAATTAAAAATAAAACCAATTAACGCTAATGTATTATTACGACACCCGGAAGTTGTCATCTAAATTAAATTCTTAAAAACTGATAAAAACGAGGTGATGACATCAATAACCGATCAATGAACTTTTTCTTAGCCAAGGACAGCATGTTAATTAATTTGATTATTTATCGCATTCTTGAACCAATAATGTCTTCGACCTCGATAAATCAGTATATTACGACATAATTAGTCGATTTTTGGGCTAAAAAAATGATATAAATTTCAAGGAAATTGCATCATTCTTTTAATAATAATGAGGTCGTCCAATGAAATTCGGATTCCTAAGTTAACGACCGCCTATATTGACGATTTGGGGGAAATTTAATAATATTCTTGCGGGGAGAGCGAATTGATATAAAAACTCGCGGAAGCGAGCTCCCAGTGATCTGTAGAACAGCCTAGTCCAGTTGAAGAAAGTCTGCCCAGTTTCGCGAAAAGTTTCTTTTATGGTTTGGCCTCGGGTATGTTTTAACTTAAAAAATTTACGGAAAATCGAGAAAGTAATAACAGTTGAAATTTCGTTCAATCAATTATGTGCGTGAAGCTAAATATTTTGAGTAGTTAATTAAATAATTTTACGTGTGTTTTATGGACAAAATGTAAGTACTTTATAGTGACAAGATTTATTTTGATGAACATGACTTTGTGTGAAATTTTACTAGAAAACTTTTGATTTTTAATTTAACGGTGGAACTTTATTACAACGAAATTAATAACTTGAGTGTTTTATGAAGGAAACATTATCGCATAACTTTAATTACCTTCAGATATAATGACATTTAAATGTGCAACAAAAATATGAAGAGTACTTACAATGCATTTAACAATATTCAATTTTGAGTTGGAAATTATGAATTAAACAGTTGGATTTATTAGCTAGGCATAGGAATCCGAAAATAGAATTTGTTCTAAGAAACTATTAACTGCAATAGGAAATTTTAAAAAGAAATTTGATGACATAATAGAATTGTTTTCTTAAAATATTGGAAACTAGTTAAAAGGAAACTTATATTAGAATTTGTCTGATTAAATAAACTAATTAAAAGGAAATAGGATGTTTCGTAAATTAAACTTGTTCATGAAATAGAATTGTCTTAGAATATGGGAAAGCCGTTAAAAGAATTTATTGTCCATGAAATGAATTTTGAATTAGGGAGTTTATTTTACAAGTAGAGGTTATTGTAAGATTTTATGAGAATAAATTAGTTGTTAAACAAATAGGTAATTATTTTGGGTTTTCATAAGTAAAGGACTTAGAGATTTTAGGGAATTATTTGACTAGGTAAAGGGTAGTTATTAGGAATGATTCGGATGTAGTGAAATAAATAGAAATATTATTTTGAGAAATAGTATGAATAGGGCGTTTCTTATTAAGTAGGCATATTTCAGTGGTCCGTATAATAACAATATAGAACGGATGTGAAGTATTAATTTTACAGAATTAAAGAAGGATGTAAAGTATTGGGAGATATTTGGCTAATTGATTTTGAGTTTTATGTGAAATAAAATATAATTTAGTACACCTCCTTAGTTTATTTCTCTCTCTTGCAAATAGACCCTCTTCCACAGATTTTAGATAGCAAGCTCCAAGTATATAAACACCATCAATATACCGCTCGCCATTTACCATCTAACTAATTTACATAGAGTACTTGGGGCGATTTGCTACATCAGTGCTAATCGATTGGTTCATAGTGGCTAAACTTTCAATTTTCTTTTGACTTTCTTTCATTGAAGAATTCACTGTTTTAAAATCATTTTCAAACGAGTGGCTCTTATTTGTCAAAGTTTCAATTTTCTTTTGATTATCTTTGATTAAAGATTCTATCTGCTTATACTTTCCAGATAATTCTTGTGAGGGTGACTCAGTGACTTTTTTCTGGTTTTCAGAATCTGTTTTAAATTTTTCCAAAAATTCTCTCAATGATTTATCCATATAGGATTTCGTTGCATAATCTTGTGATTGGTTTTCCAAACGTCGTTTCAACACCAAATTTTTATACTCGTTAACAGTTTTTAAGCGCTGTGAACGACCAAACTTATCGACAGACATGATGATACTAAATTGAATGTCTACTGCTACAAACTCTTATTCTCTCTATCTCTGTCTCTCTCTTTCTCCCTCTCTCTCTTGTAGTTTATCCTGAAAACTAAAATGAAATAAAATAACGAATGTTTTTAAAGAATTTATTGCATAAAAAAATTATTTTTCACAAGTTCACATTCTTATTATTACATCACTAGATATCTAAAACACATAATTTCTTGAAATCCATAACTATTTTTTCCGGGTTGAGGTATACGAATTCTAACATAAAATAGGATAATTCACATATATTTAAATTACAATATTCTTTCATGACACTTAAAAAATTATTTTCGTTAACAGTGGTTACATTATAATATTTTAAACTATTATCATAAAAAGTTCTAAAATCTAGTTCTATAAGTAAACTTAACCTATAATCTATTATTTCTCGGATATATGAAATGGATTCTATATCGTCTATACAAAAACATAAATCAACTTCTCCGCTTGTTAACTTGATAATTCTCTCTCCAAAACACTGTAGAAACAATGATGGTATCCGATAATGAAACAGTTGTTATGACATCACTACCATCTCCAGACAGTTCCATGAAGGATGTAACAATATCCAGAAATTTGGACCATTCTATATAGCTAAACGAAACAGACACTTGTTCTTCAGGTAAATTTAGAATTGTACTTTTAGGCTAGGAATTAGTCCTCGATCAATACTTATTCCAGCAATTATTTTGAAATTCTTGGTTGAATAACAAGTCTCCCCCAAAAATGTTGATTTTTTCATGATTTCTTGTTTACTCATCAAAAACATACTATTGACATACTTCCAATTAGGTGAGGAATAGGTTGAGCAGCTATCATATTCACTATCCATACAATCAATATCTGCTGGTGTTGTCATGTTAAATTACCGTACAATACTTATTTTTATGATTATGACTTAGGTTATGTGAATGAGAAGGACTACTTTCTTTGCAAACTTGATACTTCAAACTCAGTATTACAAATGAGTTGCAAATCGTTTAAATCTCCTTTTAAACTAGATCTTTATCCCTGTCAACCCAGCTATTATGAGATTTTTCAAAGCCCAACCATTTTACATACATTTTATTTCCTTTCTTTCGTAATACTTGTTCTATAAGAAACACATCAGGATGTTTTGTTTTCTGTAGTTCTTCTTCATAAAAACCACCACTTATAGGCCAACCTTGCAAGTCCTCTAACAAATATGTTGTTGGATTTGTAATTCTCACTTTAGCTATGTGGAACAATTCCGTAGTCCAGTTTGGGGTATATCCTTTCTGAAAAACATGCTTGAACTTGCTTATGCGGACTACGTCACCGACCTTGAATTTCTGTTTTCCAGCTACCTTAATATGACTATAAACAGTATTAAGTAGTGTTTTTTCATTATTTTTAGTAACTTTGCTTGGTTTCATTTTAATCGTGCTATGTTTGCGGTCATTATATGCATCGGTAACAGGCTTCAATAAATCGATCCATTTATGGTTTCCGTTTAATGTAAATTGCTTAAACAACTTTTCTTTAATGGTTCGAATTACTCGCTCTGCAATAGATGCTTTTAGAGGACTAAACGAACTATAATGATGTATTCCATGTTTCTTCATTAGACTCGAAAATTGAATATTATAGTATTCCTTTCCATTATCCGAAATAAGTTTCTTGGGTATTCTTCCGGAAATTTTCAAAATGCTCTCCATAGCTTCAGCGACATCTTTCGCCGTATTCGATTTTACAGCTCTAGTCCACAGAAATTTAGAAAAACAATCGATAACAACCAATATGTACTTGAATCCCTTGTTTTCTCGAGCATACTGATCAAGCTGAGCCAAGTCGGTGGCAAAAGTATCATCCAGACCATACTGTAAAAATCTTCTACGATTAAACTTTTTACGTCCTGGCTTATGTAGTTCTTTAACCACCCATTCCCTAGCTTTTGTAATAGTTTTAATTTTTTCGTTGTGACTCACAGTACATAAATGTTAAGAGATCTAAACTTGAAAGTGGCTAACCCTATAATGATTCAAGATAACACATGTAGAACTATTTATTAAACTCAATCACACCCAATTCAGCCAGTTCCTCTAAAATACTCATAATCTCATTGATATTATTGGTATTTCCAGCTTTTTGTGATGCATCCAATTTAACAAGTCTATCAATTAATTCGTTGACGTCATCGTAATAAACATATTGTTTTCGTTTCTCATTATATTCTAATAATAAAGCACTTCCGGATTTATTTTGAGATTTTGTAGATGGATTTCGGTCAGATGGCGAGGCACTGTTACTTGATTTAAGCCTTTTTGCTTCAGATGATGTTGAGACCAAAGGTTTAACAAATTGTTTATATTTTGAAGATGTGGACCCTTTAACCTGTTTGGATGGATCAAAATCTCTTCGATGAACATTGGTCCTGTTTAGAATATCCGTAAACTGCAACTTATCATCCTCCGTCTGATAGATCGGCTTTTTCAGAAATAAAAGATCATATAAGCCCTGCGTTCCTTTATAAGATACACCCCCGACTTTAATATCTCCATTCGGGAGAAAGTTGACTTTTTGAGATCCCATAGACCAATCATCGGTTTTCATATCATGTTTCAAGCCATAAGAATGGTCTATTTCATCTGATTGTTTATAGTATCTATCTACATACTCTTGTGCTACTTTGGGATACTGATCTAAAAATTCTTCATACGCTCCTGATCTATCGTGAATTGATTTCTGCAGATCTTCTTTCAAATGTTGTAAGGGTTCATAAAAGACATCCTCAGCGCCATCATCATCATCATCATCATCATCATCACTTTTTAAATTCTCACTCGTTTGAGCAATAATCTCTGCTGGTTGCAACTCTACATTTCTAGGAAGTTTCGGTTCAGATTCAAAATACGTTTTAGGAGCTTCGAGCTTAACTTTTTCATGTTTAACTTGGACTTTTCTGCCAACCGTTTTCTCAACAAACTCTCTTAGAGGTTCAGTTATAGGGTGTATTATCCTATCAAGTGCCTCATCTTCCTCTTTTCTCTCCAGCTTTAAAGCCAAATACTTTTTTCTTATAGATCTAGCAGCGTTCAGTATTTTCTTCTTGATATTCCTATCATTTTCGCTTGGAACCGAAGCCATGATTTCCAACCAGATTGACTGTTTTACACTGTCTTTTATACTGCTACACAGATCAGGAGACAGGTCTGTATACAGCTATATACAGGTCCGTATACCGCTATACAGGTCTAGAGACAGCTTTACAGGTGAGCAGACAGCTTTTTAGACAGCTATACAGGTCCGGAGACAGCTTTTTAGATAGCTATACAGGTCTAGAGACAGCTTTACAGGTCAGCAGACAGCTTTTTAGACAGCTATACAGGTCCGGAGACAGCTTTTTAGACAGCTATACAGGTCAGAAGACAGCTTTTTAAGCAGCTATACAGGTCTAGAGACAGCTTTTAGACAACTATGCAGGGTAGGAGACAGCTTTTAGACAGCTACACTGGTTCAGAGACAGCTATGGTACAGCTATTGCAGAGGTCTGTACACAGCGACGTCTTAAGGAATACTGAGGAGAATTTGTCTTCTATGGAGATATATAGGTGTTGAACTGACTTCGGTATCTACTGCTCGTGATATCATCATCTTTAACAATGACTAAGAAACCATATTTATCTTTCCAACATTCAGAACAAATAGTTTTAAACGTATTTAAAGACATATCTGTTTTAACGTGATCGTCGTACACATGTTTCAGGTTCGTGTCATCCTGCTTAAATACTATAATCATATTTGCATTATCACGAATCAATTGCTTAGGTATTTTTGAATACGTCTGACAAAGATAAAAACAGTCAATAGCATTGTGGCGGCTCATACAAAAATAGTTTCTTATCTTGTCTTGCTTCTCACAAGCCACATCATCGAATATAAACACCGAATCTGACTTAGCTGTTTGCGGATCTAAAACGGTTTCATTATCACTGTATCCATAAAAGTTTATACCAGCAACACGGTTGAGCACCTCTTTCAGAAACTTATACTTCTCTTGGTCCAATGACTTGGAATATACATATACATTTCGGAATCTAAGTCCATTCTCATCGGTTAACATACTAAGCATAACATTTGTTTTCCCTGAATTACTTGGCCCGCATATTATTGCTCTAATCGTGTTTGGTAAAAGTTCTCCATGTCTCTTTCTAACACTAGTGGACTTATTAATGTCAAAGTTATCGATCTTAATGTTGATTTTCTGCTTCATCTTCCGCATCGTATATAAACAATGTTCACTCTACCTCTGTTTCATTCTTAATGAATACACCATCGAGTGTAGGTCCTTTAAATAGCTACATCAACAAGCTTTCTTTTGAAATTCACGGATCTACAACACAGACATCGGCCAGATAAAGTGCTGAAAAATAGATCGTGAGCAGGGCCGTATCTAGTGGGGGTTTTGGGGGTTCAAACCCCCCCCCCCAAAAATAATGAAATTCAAAAAATTCAACTTAAAAACAAACAACACTTATTAAAAACTTATTTTTTTTATTTAATTTTTATTACTAGTGTAACATTTTTTTTTTTGCCACTTTGTCTAACCCCCCGCAAAATTTTGGTCTAGATACGGCCCTGATCGTGAGAACGGGTGAAAGGATAGGATTTTGCAATTTCGGTTAGAAGAAAACTAAACGTAAACTCAGCATGGCTCGATCGAAAAGTTTGAAACCATTCAAATCCTATGTTGTGGCTAATATTAGAAAGCAAGTAAAGCATCGTGGTAGAGGAATAAAAGACTTTATTAAATCGGCGCTTCAAGCAGCTCGTAAGACAATCAAAGAAGCTGGTGGACCCAAAAAGATTCGAGTTCCACGAGTTATCCCAGTACCGAAAGTAGGTGGAATTATTCCTCTTATACCTCTGTTTGCCGGACTTAGCGCGCTGGGCGCTTTGAGTGGGGGCGCGGCAGGGGTAGCAAAAGCAGTGAATGACGCTCGTTCTGCGAAAGATAAACTTGTCGAGTCCAAACGACACAACAAAACGATGGAAGCTATTGCGTTAGGAAAAAAAGGGAGTGGATTATATCTTAGTAAACACAAGACCGGATATGGACTTTACCTGAAAAAGATGTCAAAAAACCTCCAATAAAGCTACCCGATCGTCCACTAAGTGATCAAGATATCAAGCGATACGTTAAAAAACTTAAAATTTTCAATTTTAGAGGCGTGTTTATACGAGATACCTTACCATCGTCTTCAAAGAAAACCGAATGCGGGGTTCTTAATTTGGATACGAATATGGGATCGGGATCACATTGGGTAGCTTATAAGAAAAAGGAAAACACGGTTGTTTACTTTGATAGTTTTGGGAACCTAAATCCACCAAAAGAACTCGTTCGTTATTTTAAAAATTGTAAGATACTTTTCAACTATGATCAGTATCAGTCATATAACTCCTACAATTGTGGACATCTTGTACTTGGTTTTTTGTTTAATAAATCTATATAAAGTAATTGTGTTTTGATTTTATTTCAGTCATGTCTCAGACATTCACGTTGAAAGGTCGAACAAGTCGCTTGAGTGTTGATATTACACCACCCATCAAGCTTGATTCTAGTTATAACTATTCATTAGCTCTCATCTCACTCAGTACGTGGAATTCCATTCCCAACATTGAACCAGGTCGAAACAAGTTCTACTATAGCGTTACAGGAAAACAACAAATAATAGAAATCCCAACCGGGTAGTACGAGGTTACCGATATTGAAGCCTATCTACAAAAACAATTAAGTACGACTACAACAGAAAATATTTCTCTTAAGCCAAACAACAATACATTGAAGTGTGAACTAAAGGCTATATATGATATTAATTTCAAGCCCGAGGATAGTATAGGAAAACTTTTGGGATTTTCAGAAAAATCTCTGGAAAAGAATTATCTACACGAATCCGATCTGCCAGTTGAGATAATATCGGTGGCTAGTATACGGATAGAGTGCAACATCATCTCTGGTTCCTACTTCAATAGTAATCCTTCACATACGTTATACGAATTTACTCCAGCTGTGGATCCTGGATACCGAATTATAATAGATCCTCGAAACTTGATATATCTACCTATCAATAGGGACAGTATAGATAATATACCAATTAATATACTTGATCAAGAAGGACGGCCAGTTAATTTCCGAGGAGAGGAGATCATAGTGAGATTAGAGCTTAAGAAATATGGTCTTGGTTTTTAATAAAACTGGTGACTATTTAAACAGTGTGTGGCGAGCTCAGTCTGCAGTCAACCGTCAAAGCAAACGCTCACACATAAAAGTTTGATTGGGTTGAGATCTCTGGCTTCCCAATATGGATATCGTATCAGGAAAACTGCAAATATTTCAGTCGGTCAACACCGATGAGTCCGTAGCGAGAGAGGAATGGCATACTTACCATCCTTTCACCAATTCTTTCAACTATAGTGATGAAATAGAAATTGTTATCAATCAACAAGATGCATTTATAGATATCAGCCAAGCCGAAGTTTACATTGAAGGAAAATTTAATGAAGACGTTACCGCTGGAAAGACAGGAAAATGCAATCTAACAATTAATGCAGGTGCTTTCCTATTTGAATCTATCACTTATGAATTAAATGGCAAGGAAATTGATAAAATTCCGAGATCCGGGGCTTACTAGCACAGTGAGGAACATTTTATGTCTCAACGATCAAGAGAGTAGAGCACTCGATCGAGCTGGATGGAATTGGCCTAAGGGTGAAGTGAAATCTTTAGCGGGGAACAAATTTAATTTCCTGATACCCTTGAAGATTTTACTAAATATCTTTTCCGATTACAATAAGGCTATTATGGGAAGACAGAAAATAAAACTTGTCAGAGCTAGAAATGATGATAACTGTTACATCAATACGACTGGAGATAGAACAGCAAAAATTACTTTACAGTAGAATTGAGGGTGAGGCACATTTATCCAAACGATGTTTTAAAATTGAAATTATTGGAAGATATTTCGAACAACAAACCCATATTTATTCCATTCAGAAGTTGGGAGATTCATGAGTTACCTACATTGAGAAAATCCAAGCGAGACGTGTGGACTATGAAATCAATGTCCGAGAGAGACAGATATATCATAGTGTTTTTCCAGAAAAACCGAAAAGATAATCTTCGATATGATATTACTCTTTTCGATAATTTAGACATTACAGATGTCAAGCTGTATCTAAACTCTGAAGTTTATCCGTATGAATCACTGAATCTTAATTTCGATGACAAACAGTTTGCCGAAGCATACCGGATGTATACCGAATTTCAAAACACGTATTTGGGTAAAACCAATAGTGAACCATTGCTGGACCTTCCCAATTTTGCCAACAGGGCATTATTTGTTATAGACTGCTCAAAACAGAACGAATCCCTCAAAAGCAACACGACTGATGTCAAATTAGAATTCCAAAGCTCAGAGAATTTTTCGGATGATACACGAGCCTGTTGTATAATCGTACATGATCGGGTGTTTGAATACTTACCTTTATCAGGTAACGTTCGAACCACAGCATATACAAAAACAATCAGCAGGCTAACTCTCACGCGCATCTTTTCTGAGCACGCCGCCATTAGGGGATACCATTTTGTCAAAACGCTGTCATTAAACGGCAGGAGCGCCGAAATTTTATTTTATTTGTTTATTTCTGACGGAGTTCATAGGCGTGCGGTGTAGAGCGGAATTTTAGCTATGATTTTCAAAACGATTTTGATATATTCGTGTTGTCATTTATGGTGTTATCTGTTATCATTCTTGTATATTCAATAATAATAATAAATTAGTAATTATAAACATTTTTATATGTAAGTAATAATAAATTAGTTTATTTAAAGCCAATACGACTCTGTCACAGGAAAGAAAAAACCTAAATTATCGTTAATCAGGCCCTGTTTCGTATCCCAAAATGGCCGCTAGTAACATTTTGACGATGAATTCCTTTATTACACGGACTGTCACTCAAGTTAGCCTGCTGATTGTTTTTGTATATGCTGTGGTTCGAACATTGATGTAGCCAGTGACTATCAAGCATTCGCAGGAAAGGATGGAGTT